TAGTAATTCTTCGGAAGTAGAACACCCATTAAGAAGCGGAGAACAATTAGAAGGAAGTTTCAGTCCTTCTTCCAAGCCATGTTCCAAAAAGGAACCCAGAGTTTCATCTCCAGATTTGCTTCTCTCTCTATTTCTATCACCAGCTTCATTATCTCCATTCTCAGAATAATCGGGATCTACAGGGGGATAAAAATTCACACACATGACATTTCAAACAATACTCATGATTATTTGGTAGTAACAATCCCAAACTGTCTAACGACTTGCTTGCTCTTCACTCTTTCTGCTTCCTTAATATTTTCCTATCTCCACTTTTTCTTAATGTCTCTCTCCACGTTTCAGCCCTCCAACATGTAAGTAATGTTTTAAGAGAAGGAATGCTAGTTAAGAGTTTCCTCCTTTCCACTCGGGAAAATGCAAAGTTTCCGCTCAAAGCTCTAAATTTCACATGACAACACTGCATTGCCTACAGTTTCCTTATGAACCAGCGTTATGCCATAATTCGTACAAAAATACTGTCACTGAACTTTGCTACAGCTCCATTTTCACAAGTATGATGCTCCTTCTGCTGTCTTCTGCCTGTCAGAAGGCAAAATACTCTTAGTACTTTATTAAACATTTCTTCCTGAAGGGCAGTCATCTGCTACAAGGAGAGGTGGACTTTAAATCTAAATTACGCCTCTCTCAGTCTCTGCTTATACTGATGAGAGTTAAGACCTGTTGGGTTTTCTCTCTGTAATATCTCTAAAAAAAAAAATCCTTTAATGTAAGTTTTTATCTTCAGATCCTTTTCCCTAATGCAACAAGTTTTGCAAACCGCAGCAGAATGAAACAGTATCAATTATTTGTAGTTTCGCTATTTTTCACAGAGGTCTGTGAAAGAACTAGGCATACTTCAGCCAATATTCTCTTTCTGCTGAATACAGTGTCAATCTATGTTGAGAAGCTTACTCTAAAATAAATGGGTTCAACATTCCTCCTATACACTTTCCTACCTACTTCAAACATCTGAGATTTACCTGATTTCTTAGAACTTATTAACAAGTCTTATTAACAAGTTACCTTTTGTTTCAGCAGCCCTGTGGATTTCTGGTTGTTCTTCTTTTCTGCCCTCAGAACGAACGTTTGCTACACGGACACGCTCCTCTTCAGGTCTGGATAGCACTGCCAGCGTCAACTCTCCGCTCGCCTTGATGGTAACGTCTCTACCCTCACTACCAGCAGAGAAAAGAGGAGGAATCTTCTGAAATCCATCATCACCATCGTGTTCTTTCCTGTCACTGGCTTCATTTCCCTCTGCAAGGTCCGTTTTGTAGGGTGATGGGGGCAACACGTGATTCGGACCACAGTCATCCTCGCCTGCGCCACGGTGGTCACTTAGAGATGATCCTGATCCGCTACACCTGCTCTCTGTAACGTGTTTTACTTCGGAGCACTTGGCACCACTACCCTCGTGTGAAGGTGCCCTGTTTTCTTCGCTGTCGCTCTTCCCCTCCCGTGAAGGCCTCTCGCTGCTTTTGAGGAAAACGCTCTGGCCCAGCTCAGCCTCCTTCTCCAACTCGGCCCCTCGCTCCTCGCCGTCATCCTGGACAAAGTCATCGTCGCTCAGCACCAACACAGTGATGGGGAGAACAATTTCAAAGGCAGCCGGCTCTGCGGACGGCAAAAATCAGAACATTAATGTCGCCTCCACA